CAATGTATTTTGTAACTTATGTTATTTATAAAATCTGAACTAAATATCATTAATTAAGTATGCACAGACCAAAATAAAGGGAAAATAGCATTTTTCTTCACATTATACTTTGTTTTGTTTCTTGTTATACAGTACCTGCAGATCTGTAGCTCTCCGAAAAAAAAACCACAGACCGGAGAGCTAGGGTGTCACCCATCGAAAAAAAAAACAAAACTGTATATTTATTGAGCACAAAGAAGTGCGCTGTTTCTCGATTTACTTCACCGTGTTTTAAAACTGTCATCTCAAAATTTATCTAACCGTGTGTTCCTACAGAAACGTATAATCTGTGACTTTGTCCACAACAAAACATTCCTTATAATTGGTATATATGTAAAAATGGAGCGCTTACGTAATCACAACGCGTAGAACATTGATGCAATTGTATATTTTTAAAAAATAAAATAATTTGGCCCTATTCAACATGGTGGTAATGTTGAACTTTGTACAAACTGTAATAGACCTTCATAAAAATAATTGACAGCCCAAAAATGACAATGTTAGCGCCATTTATGGAATTGCAAGATTATTGCTATAGTAGCTTTGAATGTGATTGTAGATTTTCAGTATGCATAAAAAACAATGCTGAATGAACAAAACTTTCCGAAAAGTGATGGAGGTATGGGTATAGTGACGGATTTAGAGGTTTTGGCAATGCTCAGTTATACAAATAAAGAAATTCTAACAAAAAAATCTTTGCCGTGCAAATATGAATGTATGAAAAATAAAATAATGTACATGTACGTGTCATATTTTCGAAATTGCAACATGCATGCTCTGGGGCCATAAAATGATGAGCTCACTCTTAATCTCAGTGTTACCTTTCGACAAATACATGTACTTCATGGTAAAAATGAATATCAAAAGTGTATGAAAACATTTAATACAATAAAAAAAAATCTCTCTTCAGTATATTTTAAAGCCAAAAGCAGGCCCATTTTGACATTTAAAAAAAATATATAAATCCTGCATTTTAAAATTTGACTTCCTAGATCATAGTAGATTATAGGGGATTTGTGATTTAACTTTAGTGACTAAATTTGGTCATCAATTCAAAATATATAAATACATTTTGATTAAGATTCAAATTGATTAAGATTTAAAATACTACTACTATCAAATTAAAACACTTAGCATAAGGTATAAGTAAAATATATATTATGTGTACAGCTTGAAAACAAATTATTCGCTATTATCAATTTAATATTTTTACACTGCATCCTCTTCAAAGTTCGTTTTCAAACACATTCTTAAAATTATAAGTAGTAGAAACCACACAATAATAACTTAATTACAAGTATAAACTACTATGTATTCGGTATGACATCGATAGATGTCCAGCTGTGTTATGTCTTGTTGTGTATAACTTGCGTAATCCTAAATTCTAGAGGTGTTCCGACCGAGTATTCGATGAAGTGGCCAGTAGTATGCAACGAAATAGGTAAAAGTGTCCCGCTGTTATTCACCTTTAAGATCGGGAAAATATTTTAACGTTCTAAATAGATTTTTTTCATGAATGATAAAAACAAAGTGTGAAATAAACTTCGCTTTTGTGATTATTTACGGTGAAGTGCAAAAATAACTTTCGCGTTTGTAAAAACTTATGGTGAATTTTGAGCTCAGTAAGGACTTTTACACCTCAGACGCCTCTATGTTAACTCCAAATTTTATTAGTTAATTGTATGTTTATATTCAAGTAGAACTCTTTCTTCTGTTTTGTTTTAGTGTATACTGTTGTGTTCTATCCCTTGCCTGCAATCGGCGTTCAATACACATACATGTAGGTCACGATCTCTGCTGCAGCCAGTTGTTTACATTTGACCCTCGATAAAATAGTTCAGAGCGTAGGAATACTTCATATCTTATTCCTAGTCAGGAACTTGTTTTTAGTATTTGTAAATCCATAAAAACATTACGTATTACTTGGAAATTAAATTGAATACATTGTATATCTTGTTATATGACTGGATTTCTGATTTCAATACATGCATAATCAGAGGACTATATTTCTTAGAGAACTGATAAAAATTAGCATTTTAATATTTCCAATCAATCTTTGCTATTGTTTACAAAAACCTATCTCTGATTTGATCCTTGCTTCCTAAGGTTTCATATTTTAATAACAAGATTACTGAATTGTCCCAAAGAGCGAATATCAATAAGAAAATGCAAAAAGTAGTGATCACAGGATTCCGCCATTAAGCTGTAGAGCAGCTATCGAAAAATAAGCTAAGTTTTAATCAATTTTTAATCAATTTGATAACAGTGTTTTTTTTTCAGTACTTTGGGACTAGAGGCTTGGGCCCTGAGAATTGGGATTTTCAGCTTCAATTTGGCTAAATTAATTGGGGAATCTCCCAGCAAAACCAGTTATTAAAACAGCATTGTCAGAAAGCTTTGTTTTTGTCTTTGTATTACTTTAAAACAAACAATTGTAATCACAAATCAAGACTATTCTTGGTATGAGTTATATCAAATTACTTGCATCAAAAACAATAATGGTATGAATTGACTAATAAAGAAAAATCCAACATGGCTGAGCAACCACAAAACCTGTTTGAACTCTACTTAAAAACATGAAATAAAGAAACTGAATTTGATCACATATTTCTTATGTTTTTTTGTAATGACTTCCGCTAAATTTAGGGAAAATACAGGCATGTTTTCCATTGGAACTGGGGTTAAAATCGGCTCAAAAATCAAAGGATTAAAATATTTTTTTTCTTCTAAAAACTACTAGTCCGACGGACTATCAAAGGGTAACAATTAGCTAGTCCGCCCCAATAATTAAACGTTAGGTCTCAAACCTCAGACCAACGTATTTTTAAACCCCTGCGGACAGATGGATGGCTAGACAGACGAACGGATGCCAGACACATTACTATCGCATAAGCTCTTATGGTCTCTGACCATGCAGTAGAGCTTAAAAAATGTCTAAATCCCACCGTTATGGCATGCCTCAGCAAAGAATATGTGCTAAAAATTCATGCATCTAAGATGCATAGTGATGAGAAATTTTAAAATAACATTTGCAACTGCAACATAAACAAGAGTCCCATGGGCCACATCGCTCACCTGAGAAGCTTTGACCATTCTGTTCTTTACCAGATTTCACCCTTGTTATACATTAATGCATCCCCACCCTACCCCACTGATCATAATTTAGACATTTTGAAATCTACACTACTTAATGATCCTTCCATGGGTACATATGTATCAGCTTTTTTGGCCCAGTGGTTCCTAAGAAGATTTTCAAAGATTTTTCCTATACATTTCAATGTAAAACTTTGATTCCATATAATGGCCCCGCCCTTCCCCTGGGGGTCATGATTTGAACAATTTAGAATCTACACTATAGCAGCATGCTTCCACATTGTGAGGACCTCGATGAAACGTGGCAGAACGTGATAAAACGGACAACAACCGTGAACCAGCCGCGACAGAACTCAGACTAAACTCAGCAAAACGTCTCAAAACGTGAATGGATTTCCCACTGCGGACTGCCTCCAAGTTCTGTTACGGTATATTACGTGCTGTCGCGTTTTGTTGCGTTTATTCCGTTTTACTACGACCTACTAAGTTTCACATCTGCAACGTGGCCGCCGTGGCAATTTTTTTGACAGTTTAAAAATCTGGCACGGCATTCACGGCAATCGCGATGAGTTACGTTTGCCCATCCCGTTGCCCCAAGTTTTCTCACGCTCGTCCCGTTTCTTCCACGATGGCCTGAAACGTGATTGCCGTGGCTGCCGGGAACATAGTGTAAACGTAGCATAAGGTTTGGGAACATATTGTTTTTTACTCTAGCTGTTAGCATTATTTTTTTCTTCTTATTTCTTCTCTGACCAGTACTTTTTGTTCCGCAAGTGTTCAAGTAAACCGTTCATACTATGGAGTTAAAACCTTTTTGGGTTAATAAACCATATTGTGTAGATATCTGGAACAAAGGTCATTTTGCACACATACGCATGCACATGCAGGCGCTTGAAAAAGACTGATATATTCAATATAGTTGTAAATTTTATATTTTCTGATGACAGTATGCATCCTTAGATTATCATCCATGCAAGTTGGGTCAACATAGGGCTTATACATGTAGTTACTTGAAAATGAAAAGGTTCAAACCCTCACCAAAAAATGCACCAAAAATGTTAACCTGCTCCAAAAACATTAACCTGGTCATTCCTTTGCTGAAATTGCAGTATCTGAAACTTTGACTGGTACAATGAAACACACTAGAAGCATCTTCCATGCATGTCTAATCAATATAGGTCATAGAAGTACTTTTAAAACAAGACCAAAACCGAGGGTATTACGTAAGCTCCCCCCAACTTCGTTGAGGTTAGCTAGAAATGATTTTCAAAGATTTAATGTATTTTCACTAAATAATCAATAGAGCCTACCCTTACACCATAAAGCATGACCCTGAGGAACCCTGAAATTCACAAAATTGGAAGAGGTAGCCATGTTCATCATAACAATGTATTTCGTAAGTTTCATTATATAATCAATAGAACTTTGCCTTAACACCCAAACCCCTGACCCAGGGGCCATGAAATTTGCAATATTTGAAGAGGCAGGCTTCCACATCATAACTATACTGAGTTAGTTTGTTTCAATATATGTACTCAAAAGTCTGCAAAATATTGAAGGAATTGAAAATGAAACTCGTCGATTATCCAATTTCTTGGTGGAAAATGATTCATTTAGCATACTTTTGGTGGGTTATCTTCATTTAAAGTAAAGTAATACATTAATTTGGGGATTATTTGAATTTTTTTTCAAAATATTTATTGAAGCTAAGGTAAAATATTACAAAGAGAAAATCAAAATAACCACCCCCTTTTTTGCAATTTTCTAAGTGCCCGGGGTGGTTAATAGGGATTATATGGTAATGATTAATCAGATTACTCTGAGTAGTGGCATATGCCTGTAGTTTATCATATTGTTCTTGTTCTTACCAATAATGTCGTTTATCTGTCTGACTTCACAACCAACTTTGTCCTTCTTCATCTTTATGTGATGCACTGCATCTTCCCATGCTTCTTCCATTGATGTTTTCTACAGAGGAAATACTCAATTATTCCATGGAGTAAATAATACATTTTAATAGATTACAATTATATACTGTAGCTGTATATGTACAAATACCCCCCATAATTTTAGGGGGAGGGGTAAAAAAAGATACCAAGTCATTAAAGGTGTTTGAATAGAAGCAATGGTACAATAGTGTCACTGTCCAGAATTTGAATTGTTAGTGACCTGAAATTGTATATGCAGCCGAGGGGTTGGGGTGGGTGGGTTGGGGAGTTGTCTTAATTTATTTAAAAATATTTGCATGATCACACCTGTTTTTATCTCTAAAAAATATGTAACAGATTCATGTATTTTTTTAAAGATCTTTTCTATATATTTCTATGCAAAACTTTGATTCCCCATTGTGGTCCTGCCCAGCCCCCGGGGGCATGATTTGAACAATTTAGAATCTGCACTACCTCAGGATGCTTCCATGTAAGTTTCAGCTTTTCTGGCCCAGTGGTTCTTGAGAAGAAGATTTATAAAGATTTTTCCTATATAGTTCTATGTAAAACTTTGATTCCCCATTGTGGCCCAATCCTATCCCTCGGGGTCATGATTTTTACAATTTAGAATCTGAACTACCTAAGGATGCTTCGATATAAGTTTCAGCTTTTCTGGCCCAGTGGTTCTTGAGAAGAAGATTTTTAAAGATTTTTCCTATATATTTCTACGTAAAACTTTGATTCCTCATTATGGCCCCACCCTATCCCCCGGGGTCATGATTTTAACAACTTAGAATCTACACTGCCCCAGGATGCTTCGACATAAGTTTCAGCTTTTCTGGCCCAGTGGTTCTTGAGAAGAAGATTTTTTAATGACCCCGCCCTATTTTTGTCTTTTCTTGATTATCTCCCTATGTGAGGAGACAAGGCCCTTCATTTTCACATTTTCAATTCCCCTTCACCGAAGGATGCTTTGTACCAAGTTTGGTCAAAATTGGCCCAGTGGTTTTTGAGAAGAAGATGAAAATGTGAAAAGTTTACAGAAGGACAGACAGACAGATGGACAGCTAGACAGAAGGACCAAAGACGGACAAAATGTGATCAGAAAACCTCACTTGAGCCTTTTGCTAAGGTGAGAGAAAAAAAGTAAATACACTGCTTTGACACTATATTTTCCATTAATTTATATTTTCCATACAATTTATTGAATTCAGCACATTTCAGGAAGTTTTTAAAAATTTGACTTTTGTGGGGGTAAATATATGCAATATACCGCATATAGTTCTTTGAAGCTACACTACCTAAAGGTGATTTCACATGAGTTTTATTTTTTCTGTCTAAATGGTTCTTGAGAAGATGATCTTTAAAGATTTTCCATATATATTCCTGTGTAAAACCTTGATCAGCCATTTTGGCCCCACCCTACCCCCAAGGGTCATGATTTGAACAAACTTGAATTTACACTATCTGAGAGAGAATCCACATGAGTTTCATCTTTCCAGGCCTAGCGGTTTTTGAAAAGAAGACTTTTAAAGATTTTTCCTTCATACTCCTTTGTAAAACTTTGATCGGCCATTTTGGCCCCACCCTACCCCCCAGGGGTCAAGATTTGAACAAACTTGAATCTACACTACCTCAGGATGATTCCACATGAGTTTCATCTTTCCTGGCCCATGGGTTCTTGAGAAGAAGATTTTTTAAAAATACCAATAATTTTTCTCTAATTCATCATTATCTCCCCTTGGAAAAGGGCATGGCCCTTCATTTGAACAAACTTGAATCCCCTTTACTTAAGGATACATTGTAGCAAGTTTAGTTGAAAGTAGCCCCGTAGTTCTTGAGAAGAAGATGAAAATGTGAAAAGCCTTTTGCTCTATATTTCAGCTCTTATTGTACTTTTAATCTTCTTACTCTGCAAATCAGAAACCAGAACGAAGTCTCTGCAGAGCGAACGGTGAACGAACGGTGAACGAACGGTGTGTGAACTTATAGCAAAGGAAGATGTGTGAAAGTACTTAAGCAGCTGGGACGGTTGAAAACTTTATAAACAGCATTAAATAGAATAATGATTTTTTCGTTGATAAATTCTCTTTATATTCTTGTGTAGTCTAAAATATGTGTAAACAACTGAAATCAGACAAAAACTGTAGGAGGAGTAGCATTTTGAAACAATTTCACAGATATTTCTATTTTTAGTAACCACGGCAACATCATTCATCAAAATCAAAATCCGTATAAAAAATAAAATTATTTATCTAATAGTGTAAATCTCTATTCTTGTGTGCCAAGTTATACTGTAATCAGAGAGAAAACTGTAGGAGGAGTAGCATTATTAAAGAATAACACAGAAATAACTATTATTAGTAACCACGGCAACACCGCTCATCGAAATCAAAAACCAATACACAGAATTATGTATCTTAGTGTATAGTCTACTTGTTTGCCAACTTATACTGAAATCAGAAAAAAAATAGGAGGAGTAATTTTATATATTTCACAGAAATTTCTATTTTTTAGTAACCACAGCAACACCAGTTTTAAATCAAAAATCGTTACACAGAATTATGTACTTTAGTGTAGTCTTCTTGTGTGCCAAGTTATACTGAAATCAGACCAAAACTGTAGGAGGAGTAGCATTCTGAAACAATTTTTGTAAAATTTAGAATTTTTAGTAAACGGCAACAATAAATCGAAATCAAAAACCGATTACAGAATTATGTATCAAATGTGGAGTAGAAACTTGAGAGAGAGAGAGAGAGAGAGAGAGAGAGAGAGAGAGAGAGAGAGAGAGAGAGAGAGATTTTGAAAGAATTTCACATATATTTCTTTTTTAATATTCCACGGCAACAAAGTAATCATTTTTTTTTTATCAAAAACCATTTGACACAGAATTTTTTTTCTTAGTTCAAAGATTCACTCCAAGTGCACTTGTGTGCCAAGTTATATTGAAATTAGACACAACTGTAGGAGAAGTAGCATTTTGAAGTCAAAGAGTTTACGTATTCCCAAGAAGTTTTAACATTTTGTTGTTTGGACATCATTTTTAAATTTGATTTTCGCTTTTCTACGGAAAAAATGAATAAATAATTGAAATACATGTATATACCTGGAAGGATTAAGTTTGAAAATGAATTTAAAACATTCCCTGCCAAATCAAAATGCCACTGTCGGCACATGTATGTATATAATGACTGTTTTGGTGTTTGTATAAAGAGTAATTTTTTCTGTGTTACATGTACAATACACATTGAATATTAATTAATATATTTGAAAATAAAACTAAGAATTTGAAGAAAATTAAATGGGTGGGGGTGCTGTTAAGCATACTGAATGGCAAACGTATATTTAGTTACTTGAAGGAATTTTTTTTTTGTAATGATACAATTTAAATACGTGAATATATAACCAAAAATTCTATTGTATTAAATTTTAAACAGTTTGTCTTTTTAAAATTTAGAATCACACTAACAATTTAATATCGCTCTACAAATATTTAAATTAACTGAATATCTGTAGTACTATGCATAATTCTACATATATATAACTAATGTTTGTGTTTATTTTTTCTTTAAAAACTTGTTAAACATATTTTTTTGTATATTATTATAACAAAGCACATTATTATTCATCTAAAACGATTTTTTGTCGTCTTTTATATTATAACGAAATGCCGCGCTTTAAGAATTTGTTTAGGGACATTGCCCTTATTTAAATTTAATATTTTAGCTGAACTACTTACATGTATGTTCAAATGTATTTTTTCCATGAAAAAATGGATAAAGTAACAGCTAAGTTATAATAATAGAAATATATATATATATCGTAGATACTTTTTGCATTGAAATAATTATTCTTTAAATACGATATCTCAGTTATTTAATTAAAAAAAAATCCTTACCATCAAAAAGATAAGTCCTTTCACTTCGGAGTTCCATATGACAATAAATGTTTAACAATAAGTGAACGGTGAACGCAAGGTGAACGCAAACTATACCAAAAGTACAATTGTATGAACGTTTTGTGAACGGTGAACGCGAGCGCACGGTAAACGGTGAACGCAAAACTGTGAACGGAAAGCGAACGGTGAACGCACGCTGAATTTGAATCACGCTCTAACGAATGAACGAACGGTTTTCGAATGAAATTTGGGATAAGAGCCTGCTATCAAGTTAAATGCAAATCAGAAAAAATGTAACATTTTAGGATTGAAGGTACTGGTTTGAACTTATAGCAAAGGAAGAGAAAGTATTAAGCAGCTGGATTTAAAACTTTATAAACAGCATTAAATAATAATCCATCCAAAGTCTTTTTATTTCTTATTAGTCTACTTGTGTACCATTATAAAATCTACAAAAATGTCAATGTATCATTTTGAAACAATTTCACAGATATTTCTATTTTTAGTAACCACGGCAACATCATTCATCAAAATCAAAATCCGATATACAGAATTATGTATCTTAGTGTAGTAGTCACTTGTGTGCATAAAATGTCAAAAGTAGGTCAAGTTATTGTATCAAAACTTAGGAGGAAGAGAGCATTCTGAAACAGCTTTTACAGAAATTTCTATTTTTAGTAACCACGGCAACACCGTTCATACTTCTCAAAAACCGAATACAGAATTATGTATAAAGTGAGTCTACTTGTGTGCCAATTAACTGAAATCAGACCAAAACTGTAGGAAAATAGCATTTTGAAAGAATTTCACAGATATTTCTATTTTTAGTAACCACGGCAACACCGTTCATCGAAATGCAAAAACAAATACACAGAATTATGTATCTTAAGTCTACTTGTGTGCCAAGTTATATTGAAATTAGACCAAAACTGTAGGTAAGTAGCATTTTGAAAAATTGTTTACTCACTGGTCCGGACAGAGACGAGGCATTACAGTGAATTTTGATAAGCTCTTAAGGTCATCTGAAAATCAAAATTAAAAATATAATTGTCCGCTCAAATTTTTTGCATGCCCCGCCTGAAAATTTTGCCTTCAAAAAAGTAATAATATCATTATTTAACCACTTGCCCACTCTTGCTTTT